AAATGCATTGGCTCGGTTTTTTTATTATCATTTAAGTTCAAATGTTGACAACATTTATCAAATTTAAAATGATTAGATGTTTTTTTTATAGTTAATTTATGTGTCAAAAAGCTTGAAAATTCCATACAAGACGTTTTATATATTGTTACAATGACAGTTGAAAAATATTAAAAATATATAGTCACGGTTTTGTTTAGTAATAATTGAATCACTGATAATTTAAGAATAATTGTATGAATAATATTAATTCAACTTACCGACTGTCGTATATAACAGTAATAACAGTATAAAATATCCTAGACTGACATACCGTCACGTCCCCGCTTAGAATCGTTTTTCATATACAATGATGTTATATCATTGAATTCAAATTTAATACCATATATTAAAGCGACCTTCTAGACATCTAATGTACAGCACAGCGACATCCACTTCCCTTTTTTTTTATGAGGGTCTGAAGTTAGAATTTCATGTTAATAACTTTTTCCTTCATTAATGAGGTTGTTTGTCAAACTTAAACTGTTCTGAGGTAACCACTTTTACAACTCATAATAATATAATTTCAATATTAATGTATTAATAATATTATGACATTTATGATCAACAGTGATTGAGTCGATAAATATCGGGGCCCCTATGATTGACATTCCCAGTTTCCACGGGTATAGTTCCATCACTTTGGACCATACACCATAGGGATATACTAAGGTTTAAGATATAGGTATCTTAAAAAGTGTCCTTTATATATATCTTGGAGCTTGCGGTACCTCCATATATAAGTGTACTATCGCGATTAATGTTAATGGCACAGATAACAGTTGTAAATAATAAACTATAAATATAACTACCTATCTATCTGTGGTCAGTGGTGATTTGTATTGGGTCGATAACAGTGGTATGTAATGACTAATGGCCCGTTTTGAAGTTCTAATAGTTTACCTCAGAATATTTTAATTATAAAATACCTACGATTTTTATAAATCTGTGTCAAATGGTCGAAAGGCTAACTGTCATAACATACAAAAACATAATTTTACAGTATTGGGTAGATAACAGTGGTATGTAATGACTAATGGCTCGTTTTTAAGTTCTAATAGTTTACCTCAGAATATTTTAATTATAAAATACCTACGATTTTTATAAATCTGTGTCAAATGGTCGAAAGGCTAACTGTCATAACTCACAAAAACGTAATTTTACAGTACTGCAGTAGGCACTTTTAGAAAAAGATATTTACAAACCAGTGGCGTATATACGAATTATTTTCACTATGGCCCGATTTATCAATTATCACTAGTCAAGCAGCATAGCCATAATTATACATTTTTAAGGGAGCAGCTGTTATATAATTAAGAATTATGACATATTATACAGTTCAAATAAAAATTGCGCGATTCAATTTTATAATTATTATGTAAAATTAATTTTTTGTTTCTTTTTTTAAAATTATTGACAGTGTCGTTTGTATATTTTAATGTTATCTTACTATGAATTTAACATCAAAGTCAATAAGTCATTAAAGCAAGTCTCGTCAATATATCTAACATTTCCTTGTAGATTACTCAAAAATGATTTTAATCAACCGGCTAACTTAATCATGGTGAAAAACTGTTAACAGTGTAAATATACATGCAATGCTTTAATTGAACCTGCAATTTCACTATGGGCTCTGGCCTAGGGGGCCTCCCCCCTATATACGCCATTGTTACAAACCTATTCGGTTATAGTTTAATTACCTTATAAGTATTTTTTTTTATTCTGCAGTTAATTATGAATCAATAATCTTAAAGAATTGAGTTAGGTATTATTATTTACATCATTATAAAAATTATTTTTATTTATGACCTAGTCAAGTGTTACATCATTTGATCACTTAATAATTATGCTACAGAATTTTTAATTATGGTGTTTTGTACTAAGGTTATTAGTTATTACATTTGATATTATTATTTAATATTGTATTATCATTTTTTTTATTAGGGGTTGTATGAAATAAACAATTTGTTTTATGATGAATGGTTTATTGGTTTCATCTTGAACGTTTCAAAATGCTAAAAAAACATTTCATTTGATAGCAATGGTGATAACAATAATTTCGATGTGGCTTCATATTCACATTATAGTCGGTATCAGGTCTTTATGCGTATAGTGAGGCTTACAAGTTACAACGTTTGTCACTATTAAACACCTTAAAGTCAAGTCCTATTGTTGGATATTAAAATATGGCGTTTGAATAGAGGAGCTGTAATAAGGAGAATAATTTTGTGGCAAAAGTTGGATAATTGTTTTTTTTAGAGTTTACGACACTTTGTTTAGTCACAAAAACATTGTATGGAATTTAGTGAAAGTTGAAATCTCATTTTTGAACAAAATTAGGGTTAAGAGTTACGACAACAATTATGAATTGGCTTTTTGATTTTTAACCATCGACAATAATGTAATAGGTGCTACACGGTATACGTGTTATACCAATCGAACATTGGTGATTTACCGATGATGTCTCCGCCCTACTGCAAAAGATCACTAGAGTAGTATACTACGTGTTTGATCACGCTGAAAAGATTTTTGATACATACATATGATGTTATAGGTAGGTACGATGGATTTAATAGTTTTGCGTGGCTGGCGGACGGGTGGTCGGCCTGACGGACCATAAATATTCATTTAAAACCGTACTCTGTACACGCACAGGCTTAACTGCCGTGCTGTTATATTATCCGCGTTTGTACGTATAATATATATATTTGTGCAGTGTATCGCGCCCGTATTCAATTTTGTTTTTACACCCTCACGCGAACCCCCCCTCGTCGGGCCTGTAAAGTCCGCAGGGACTAGGTTTACACAAACGCACACGCACACGACACGGTGGCGCACACAATGCCGTTTTTACCCACATACCCACCACCCACGCGTACGTATATACACACACTCATATATATATATATATATATAATATGTATATAGTATATACAAGTTGAGATCGCATCATATTATAATACAATGTCGCCGTACAGTACATGATATTATTATGTGTGTGCGTACTACGTATGTATATAATATTATATACCTATATATAACAATTATATTGTATATAAATGATTTTTTATCATTTGTACCTAAACTATAAACAACAACAATAATGACAATAACAAGGGAGGAGAAAAATTACAGTTATTATTTTTTTTTTTGTAATTAATTATTATTCTACACATACGAGTGTCTACTTTGTAATTATGTACACTGCCACGATTTCTGTTCATTTGCAGACGACGCAAAGTCGTGTGATTGAAACGTAATGATATTAAACCCTCACATGGGTGCACATAGGTAGAACATTGTAGATCAGAAGGGGGGGGGGAGCAAAATTAAAAATTGTCTGCAAAATATAAATATAAGCTAAATAAGGGCTTAATGTCATTTCAAGTTTTAACATATAAAAGTAAATATGTTTTTATGCTGTTTATAATAATTAATATTTGTATTAATTCGACAATACGTTTATAACTTTAAACTCATTTTAACAAGTAGGTACAGTAAAAAAAAAGTAAGTAATACAGTAAATAATTAAATTTATTATTCAGTATAGGTAGGTAATATCTAATAATATAATTATGCTCCTATTGACACTCGATAATATTATAAAGACAATCGACATTTATTGGCACTCACTGATATCGAGCAGATGGCGGAAGACAAAATAGTTCAGTACAGTGTATACAAAGGGGCATGGATTTTGTGATCGGCTGTTAATTTCTTAAATCTTATAGTTTCACATTTTAATTAGATAGTAGTAGTCAATACTAGCAACATTAATAAGCGATGTTTGATAAAATATCTATAAGTTTTAATGTAACCGAGTTCCACACAATTAATTATCTAAGATCAATAAAAATCTTACATAGGTATTTCTATGTGTACGTCAGTCGTTAATATCAGTTTGTATTATTTTTCCAGGGGACAAGTGTTCTTTAATTGCATTCTCACTCCTCTAGTAAATTGTACAATAGAGCTTTTGTACATATGTCTTCTAAGTATGTATTCGTTTTTATTTCTCATTGCTGTGTTTAGGTATTCTTTGAAGATTTAAATATCAAATCGCTGAGTACCAAGATAATGTCAAATCCCTTCAAATCTTTATAAACAAGATGTGTAAACTTATAAAATATTATTATTTCCTAGTTTCCTACAATTATAACGAAATAAAGCCCTATAAAATGTATTGAAAAAAATGTTTCAATTTACAAAAGTGGCACAATATTTCTAATACCTAGGTGATATTATAAACATAAACGATAAGAATTGTTGTTTTTTCGTATAAAATATGGTAAGAAAATAATATCACCCGACCATGTGGTTGTGGTAACTTGGTAATATTTAACCACAGATATAGGTACGTGGGAACTTGTTAATTTTGTGTCACGCGTGTTTTTAACTTCCTACTCCGATTGCTTAGGTAATGTGGATTTAAAATGTAAAACATGTACACTTAATTGATGTATTGCTTGGGGCCCTTGGCACTGAGGCTAGGACCGGTGTTTTTTTTAATCAATATTATACGGGTGTCTGCTTAAGGCCCTCTCCTCTGAAAAATGTATGCTATTCTCACCTATATGCATATTATATAGTAGATACCTTAGTAGCTGTAAGTACATATAATATATATCTAGTGATGAGAAAAGTATACTCTACAGTGACTCATCTGCGATGTAAAATGTTATACCGAGTGATCGAAAGATGGCAACGCATAGTCGGTCCCGTGCGGTCAGGTCTCTTTTTTCCGTAAAAATTAATTTTTGACGCGAAAAACTCACACATACGTTTCAAGAAAACGGGTCATTCCGAGTGGGACGGACTGCCACGCGATTCATTACGTATAGCAAAATATAGCGAGGGAGACTGCAGTGTATATCAATATGACCGTGGCCACGCATTATTTTTAGACGTGTGTCATATTCTATAAGCGTATTAATATACACATAGTATGGTCTGTATGGATCTATTTCCGAGTTAGATCTTTCCAGTTGCCATCACGCCCGAGAGTGTATATAAGGGGACCACGGTGTCGAGCGATTTTCAATTTTCGTCCGTCAGCCAAAGCTCGCACAAACGAACTGTCGTTCACTTGTTCCCGCGCATATTTTCATTGTTTTCGTGTCGTTATTGCAACGTGTGTATCCTCGTAATACTCATGTCTTTGGAACGTGCAGTTCGTGCTAAAGTAAGTCGTCCGAAATATTACATTATATGGTCGTCAGCGTTATTACATACAATATTATGTTATGGTTATCATGCATGTTGTCGTGAGCATCGTCGGCGGTGTTATTAAAGTTTAAATATACTATAGGTAATGTGTAACATCATTTTTATTTTTTGTTTTACCCGACACAGCTCGCTTCCAAGCGAGACCCCCAACAAGAGAAGGAAGCCCAGGAATGGATGGAAGCGATATTGGGATATAAATTCCCCAAGAACTTCCCGTTGGAGGAATACATCAAGGACGGCCAAGTACTGTGCAAACTCATCAATGTCATTAGCCCTGGAAGTGTACCAAAATACAACACTACCGGAGGACAGTTCAAAATGATGGAAAACATTAACATGTAAGTCATGCATCGACAATTTTTAAACCTATTATTTTTTATTCAAATATGATTTTATTGTCGCTAGACTGTTCTTTGGTAAAATTTAAAACAGTTTAGATACGTAAAAATCCAATGAAAGTGGCATGACGCATTGCAGCTGATGTGCTTATACTGAGAAAACTGTTTTAGGGAAACTTTTCAATTCGATTTCTGCAATTTGATATCATAATACACCTGGATTAAAAATTAAGCTCTCTGATTATTAGTTCGTCGCTGCAACGTGCGATTCCGTTCCGTAGTGTATCTTCTGTATATAATATAAAATAATATATAATAACACAATGATTGAACTAGTGTCTTCGGTTGTTTTTGCCCCATAAAGCCAACACAACGGAAAACCCACCCCACCCTATTTATACAATATGTATACACCGTAAATACGCCAATTAATCGAAAATCGTGTGCTGTGGAGAAGATAGTGAACGCAATACATTACAAGCAAACTTTTCCGGCGCATTATTGCTGTACATATTATTGTATATTATATTTGAAAACAGCCATGTAAACATGTTCCGGGGACGACGATGGTGACCATCAATAACGATTAAACGGCGCAGACTATTCGCTTAACTTTTGGCGTCGTGACGTGTATGTTGTGTGTGTGTATTGTATGTGTGTGTACCTACTCCAAATCGGGGGTAATCATTAAGTAGATGAAGAGGGGGGGAGGTGATGTATAACCTCTTTGAACCACCCCCTTTGTGGAATTTTTGGCCGTAGAAAACTATATCATTATTATATTACACACACATGCGCACGTGTAACTAAATATTACAGAATATATGGCAATGTGAACGGTAGATAAGCGATAATAACGTGAAAAATGATATATTATGCAGATTTTGCAGAGCATTGATAGTTTTGTATAGGTAATAAAAAAATCTCGATCAACCGACAACCCTACACTGATGTTGTATATAGCACTTAATAATATACAAGTCTCGTCCTGCAAGTCCTGCAAGTCTTCGATTTCTTTATCGCGAAAGTCCAATGTTTTGATTTTAAATGTTGCTATCCAAACAACACGATATATTTTCGAAGAGAGTTTGATGAGAGAACTCGAATACCTGTACCTAAATTTCAAAAATATTTTGAAGTCCGACAATTGATTTGAATTTTTTTTTCACTCTACAGATGGGTAATGTAAAATATTTAAACATGCATTCAAATAATATTATTTTATACACTGTATACGAACCAAACACGTAACGTGGACTGTTGAAACAATAATTTTATGAGGCGTTATTTATTCTGGGACCGCGCGTGCATATATAATTTCGGGGGGCGTCGTGTCACGCTAAGTAAATTTTAACGTTTAGAGTTCTCGCTGAGGCACAAACTTTTATACATGTATATTATATACACGCGGTGAAATAAACTTTTAAGCGCGTCGCTGCAAAGCGGAGTTCCGTGCGAAAGTTTTTCGACTCATAAATCATAAAGTGCAGCGTGTATAATAATAATATATAACATTATAATATGAAAATTGTGCACAGGGGTGACGGGTAGGGATGAGGGAAGTACCTACTCCAAGTTTGGCAAGATATAGGTGCGAAGTCTGTCGTATATATATATATATATATATAATATATAAAAACAAAAACGAACGCGTGTTGTGTGTATACCTCTATATGGCTATATATATTATAGCGAAGTCTATTATATTTATCGATGTCGGCATTGTTGTAATCTTTTATCGACGACACAGAGGTAAATACGAATGCCACCGAGCGATCTTATAGATATAATATAGGTGCCTACCTACTCGTATAATATAATACCATGTTCGTATTATATGTGTCTATAAAGAGTTATGACTTACGTTAGCTGTGACGACAGTGATGCATAGTGGTTGCGACGGGCGAAAGGAGGCGTGAACGATTTGCTTGTGGGTGGGTGCAGTACATAGTAGAATCGTGCACAGGGGTGATACAGATATTTCATCGAAGCACTATAATATGAAGTGTTTTATTTTTAGCCTGCGTGTAACCTTATAATACGTAATATGTATGTATAATAATAATTTATAATTCGTTTTCGCACTTACAGTTTCCAGAAGGCTATCAAAGCGTACGGAGTCGCCGACATTGACGTTTTTCAGACCGTCGACCTGTGGGAGTGCAAAGATTTCTCCCAAGTGGTGATGACCCTGTACGCTCTGGGCCGTGAGGTGAGAACAACTATCATTACAATATTATTTCGAAATTGTCGCGTGAATAATATTCGAAAACCCTCTAACCTATACATAATAATAAACATAATATACATAATATTTCATATTATGAGCGTTTGATGACCATAGTACTTATAATATTATTTATTGCAATATTTTGTAGACATACAGACACCCAGAATGGAAGGGACCTTACTTGGGACCCAAACCTTCCGATGAGGCTAAGCGAGATTTCTCAGAGGAAACACTGAAGGCCGGTCAAACCATCATTGGGTTGCAGGCTGGACAAAACAAAGGTGCCACACAAGCGGGCCAAAACTTAGGCGCTGGCAGGAAGATCATTATCGGCAAATAATCACGCCACACACCATGCACTACCCGACGAGTACCATTTAATATAATATTATATTATAATAATTTATATAATATTTTATGTTATATATGTACACACAATTATAAAATATAGAGAGGTCGTGTTGCGATTTATCATCTGAAACTCGAACTTGCAGCTTGCGGTGTACGTCGTTGTAAGTTGTAAGCAGTTATTAAATAATTATTAATATTATGATATGTGTGTCATATTTTCCTAATTATTATTGTAATAATATTATCGGAGCGGTATGTATGTAAATGGTTTTAAAATAACGCACGAATTATGTCTTATTATATTGTTTCCACGCGGCATTATTATTAAATATCCTACTTGTTTTTTTTTTAAATCGATAACCGTTTTTTACCTATATATATCATATTTTTTTTTTGAATTAAAAAATAAAAATATATATAATAAAACAATTGACAATCAATGTAAAATTAAAATCTATTATATACCTTTACCTCCTGGGATTCTGTGTCGTGAAATTATTCATGTGTGCCACGTAATTAAAATATACGTAGGTGCATAGGGTATCCATTGCTGCTATACTCTAAGACAAACAATAACTGTTGTTTTTCCATTTTTGTCGTTAAATTTATCTGCAGTCGTACTTATATATATAAATGCTTAATATATGATAAATGTCTGTTTATGGGCCGATCGTAAAATATTATAATCTATATCAATAAAAGGCCATGTTTGTGTATAAGTGATTCACAGCCAAGCCTGTTGCATTTCATAGTGTTCTGAAAATTGGTACATAGGTAATCTTATACCGGATGAGGATGTGCACCTCGGAGCCTATTTTACGAAATTCGCACTTATTTAGAGGGGTTTACACAGAGATTTGTTGGCTCAAGAAAAACAAATATTGTTTTGATTGTATAGAGTTGAAGTTCGTTACAAGAGAAAAAATAGTTATTTTAATTGGATATAATCTTAAACCACCCCAACCGATTGTGTTAAAAATAAGTTTATTTTACATTTAACTGAGTTTAAGACAAGGTAAATCAACTGGCATTATTTAATTTGTGAACGCCGTGCAGTATCAGCTATAGAAGCAAATATATTATATAAAAGTCAATCTAATTTTATCTTTTTAATTATTATTATTGAGCTACAGCACATTACTTATATTGATGTTTTGTGTATTAAACTATTTTAGTATTTTAATAACAATAATAATATAACACAATATTTTATGATTTATGTAAAATGCAATAAATTATAATATGACATACCACACTTCGGCGGTGGTGAGCGCGTGTCAACAATTCAATTCGCGCTTAAATTTAGAACCATCTGGATGCCTGCGGTGAAGAAAAAGTCGACGACTGTCGACAGGACTGCTGCTGCCTACAGCTGGCATCCGAACAATAATTGTCGATTTTCTGGCAATCGTCAAAAAAATAATATTTATGCCACAAACTTTTTTTGCTCTTTCATAATATAGTAAATAAGCTAGATAAACTAAATAAATAAATTAATAATGTATGTATAATGTATATACTATACCTACTTGCATAGTTATATGCATAAAATATAAAAACAAGCACAGTATATTAATAATACTAGTTGAGTGAATTTGATTTATACGCTAAAAGTAAAAATAATAATTTAATGGAAATGTAAACTTTGTGGAAATTACATTTAACATGCCTAATATATTATAATGGCCGCCAATTTAGTCTTTCATCGAGGAGTGGAAAGTTTTAAGCAGGCCTAAACCACCCAAGCCGGCCATTGGACCATTTGCAACTAACCTAGCTAACCTTCTATGATTGATGCGTGTTGGTTACCTTTAGGTAGGGACATAAATTACCACATGTTATGAATATGTATGATTGTTTGATCATAAAACGAGCGGGCAAAAGTATAGTCCCGGACGCCTTCACATGACACGCCTATAATAATAGGTGCCCGTTAATCTGTGGTGTAAACATGTTTTGCGTGGGCAAGAAGCTAGCAAATGTATGTAAATAATTGCCAACATATTTAGCATGTATTAATGATTTAATAGAGTAGTATCAAAAAATAATTGTAACTTACTCAATTAACGATTGTTAAAAGCATCTTGGATTCTTATTTTCTGATAATATACACTGCTGCAAGGACGTAATACCTTTTACCTATTACAGTTTATTTTAATTATATTAATCGTTGACCAATACCCGAAAGAGAAAAATAATAATATACTAGTATTGAATCGACGACCAGGAAACAATAAATAAACTGATAATTGTGTCTTCACACTTAATACAAATAAAATATTCATTTAGATTTTTTTATTTTGTATGTATTAAATTGTGCATTTTTAAAGTTTTGGTATAAATAAAACTAACGGATTAATCGGTAAATTAGTCATTAATCAAACGTAACAATGAAAAATTATGTCATAATAAACTCAAAACTAAAGAAAACGAATTTCAAAAAAAAAAAATTCAGCTGTTGCAATAAAAACATACTTAGATACATTAATTTATGTACATAAAGTTTATCTCTGAAGTTTTTACTGACATAATTCATTAAATGTATTTATTATTTTTAACAATTTAATTCTATATTAATCGTATCATTTAAATGGTATGAAAACCTCTTGACGTTTCAATGGGGCGGTGATCTGAAATTTCCGACCCTTTTGAGTACTCCATGGCTGTGTTAATAGAAAGCAGAGAGTGTGTACTTAATATAAGTGATCTATTTAACTTAAGACACTCATTATTTCAGAAAACATTAAATTTTTTGAAAATATTTCTATTACATACCTTCATTTTAAGTTGTTACAAAATAACATTTTGAGAAATATTTTTTATTTTTTATCGGGGCTATCGTTTTTAATGTTTTTTTTCTCTTTTGAATGACTACATACATTTTTAATTTCATATTCCTAAGCCGAATATTGTTGGGAGTTTTCGATGTATGCAAATCAAATTTTGAACAAGTAGTTTATTAGTGTTATACCTTATACATATTTAAAGTTTAGATGAATGTGGAAGTGGACTAACATTTTGCGGGGTACCCTTATACTATACCACTACCAACTCATCAACTACTCATCAAAACTATGAATACATATGTTTTCTAACTCCTCATAAACTATACTTGTCCAAAATTCGATTTTTATACATCGAAGTATTCCAAAAAATACTTTTCTTTGGAATAAGGAATTAATAAAAGTATGTTTTCATTAAAATTTAAAAAAAGCTAGACAATTCAAATATGTTGATGATAAAATATTTTGTTTGAACGACTTCAAATTACACAACAGATTGTGAGGGTCTTGCGTTATTAAATGGGTCACTCGGTATAACCACAGACATCATTATATTATCTAGCCTTCTAGGTAATATGTATTTTTTTAATATCTATGAAAGTATAATTATATATTTGAGGATATTTTTTATGGTTAATGGTTATATTTTATTATTTTTTAAATTTAGCAATCGCCGATGGAAGTAAATTATATGTATGCATATTATGCGCAGCGCGTATACCTACACCTTCATAGTATAGATGAGTGGTAATAATTTATTATTGTGTGTTTACAATTAACAAAGGATAACGAAAAATAAAAAAAACCACCCGAACAACGTGTTAATCGCACAATATTTTCCCATTCTCTCGTGGTCCGGGTATAAATGTTAATTATTATACACACGAACATACACACGCACGCGAGAGCCTAGTCCTTTTGCCGACAAAAATATGGGGTGGAAGTGACCTGCTGCAGAAGCTAAGGGCGGGTAAATTAAAAATTTTGATTTATATGCATATCTGTCTATACTACTATATAAAATGAAGTCGTTTTCTTTTGTTCGGGATAAACTCCCAAACTACTTATTCAATCGTCGTGCAGTATTTTTTTTAATTAAAGAGGACATCACAGAAAAGGTTTTAGGTACCTATACATTTAGTCCGGTAAAGTTAATAAATAATAAAGTGATTATTAAATAAAATAAACTTGTAAATTGTATACCTGTACCTTTTTTTAGTAAGAAATAGTCGCTGGCTGAAAATAAATAACAATCACACTCGACAACCACAGATGCTTCTAGGCAGGTTGGTATCGACGCGGAATAATAAATAATTATTACAATTATTTATTTTAGCGTAAAAGAAACAACTAATTTTATCTGAATATCTATTATTAGATTATTAAGACTATTATTATTTTGTGATACAAGCATTTTTCACCTTAAATTGTTTAGCTGATGAATTTTCTTCAAAATGTTGACGTATTTAAAGCAATATACAGAGGAATTTCTGAGGTACCTACTAAATGAATAAAGTTGGTAACATACGAATAATTTTGTTAAAATTTTTCAATGTATATAATATGGCTAACACAGTATTTACAATGATTGGAAAATATATACAAATCATAAAATGTTGATGGATTGAATTTTCAAATCATCATACCCCCCATCATATCTTCTAAACCCATTATCTTGGACCCATTATCTTTAGTATAGTTACACACAATTATAAACTCAAAACTGTTGGTTAGAATTTTGAAAAAGGTACATCAAAATTCAAAGTTATCAAAATAGTTATCGCCAGAGCCCACAGGAGGATACTCCATAGATGGTTTAAAAACCTAAGTATTTGAAAATATGGTCCACTATTTCAATGGAAATTTGGATTTGTTGAGATTTTCCACCACAATGCAGTGGCTGAATGGTTGAGTAGATAGATGAGGAAGCAAATACATTGTATAGGTGCATATAGTATTAGGTTTTATTTTACGTGAGCATCTGTTGAACGAAAATACACTTTACCATTACCAACAAATTTGAACGAAGATCTAGGGTCAACTAATTCAATTTCAACGGGGACGGATCACGAGACAAAAAGATTTACCTACTGCAATGCTAAAAATGAAAGCGGTAATTGCATAACTTGTTTAAAGACACCTTCAACGAGTCCGGTGACGATGAGTAATATTCGACTATTCGAACCACAACGGATACCTACGTTTCAAGTGACTTTGTGACATTTGTACATAGCTTAAAAAAAATATCATTATTTAAAATTGTTTAATAATACTTCTGGAGTATTTCTATGTATAAAAATGTAATTTAGGACGTGAAGGTTGTGATTAACATATTGCTTTTAAAGTTATTATCTGACTTTGCCTGTAGAAAAAATTCGTGAACATAAAATAATATATATGTATCAGTGTATCTCGGTTTAGAATAGGTGCCCCTAGCTTTGTGAACTAATTAGTAATTTGACAAAGATGGGCAATCAGCTTGTAGCAGAATAGTCATTGCTTTCTGTTGAACATTTGAATAGCAAACAATTAATTAAATGATATGTAAGAATAAATCACATAAGACATAACCATGCATGGCACGTCGTATAGTTTGTACTAATTTTTAAAAAAAGTATATTTTTGTAACCGATAGAAACCATATATTCAAGTACAATAGTACACGTATAAACAAAAAAATTATTAGTTTTTTTTAAGGGTTGAAAAACAAAGTCAAGAACACTCCTCGAGTCTCAACGAATATGTGTCTAAAATTTGGTGCCATATGGCTCTTAAGTTTGCAAGTCTGTAACTATCATTGAAATTTGACAGAATGAGCTCCAGTACTTAGAATTAGCCATACTATGTAATAAAAAATTTAATCTATATTAATAAAAAGCAATGTTTGTTTGTGTGTATGTATTACTGTGTAAGAGATCCAAAGCTAAGTGTATCGCATTTATGGTTCAGAAATTCTATACCTGCGTAAGATATGCACCCTGAAAATAATTTTTTTAAATTTTGCATATTTAAGGGTGAATCACCTAGCGTTTTATCGGCTCACGAAAGACAAATATTTTTTTGTTTGTACAATGTTACCATTGGTTACAGAAAATAAAATAGTTGTTTTTTTATATATTTATTTAGTCTATTTAGATCAAATTTATTGACATAATCACATTTATGACTGTGTTAAAAATAAGTGTATAGTTGACATTTAGCCGAGCTTAAGACAGGGTAAATCCATTGGCATTATTTAAAGTGCCACGGGAAACACCTTGGAGGATCAGCTAGAATAATTAAATAATTTACTAAATAATGAACTTTTTTTTAATACTTAAATATTGAAATAACCATTGAGTACAGTATTGTATTATTGGTGTGACGAGTAGTTTTTAGTGATTGAAAAATAATTTTAAATCATAATGTTAGGTTCATATGGTACATATTGTTATTGTGTTAAAAAAATATATTTTTGTTTTAAAATAGTCAAAAATAGATGAGCATGGAAAACGTTTAAATTGTTTTTCTACACAAATCATGTCAAGGATTTGGCAGCTTTTTACTAAATTCCATCGGACATATTGTGCAGCGTTGTCCTAAAGTTTTATAGTTGAAATAAAAAACATACTCTACATTTTTTTTCAGCGGGAGAAGAAAAACTATAAATCATTGCGACGTGTTGTCGCGGTGTTCTCTTGTAAAAACAACAGTTAATTAAATTTAAAAAGTATATAAACACCGAGAAAATGAAACTACCTTATTCTCGTATACAATTTATTCGTATAAAAAAAGTTGATGATTGATATTATATTAATATAAAAACCACAACGATTTTCAATAATGACTTTTTTTTATTGTACGTTATTCGGTTCACAAATTTATCATCAATACATATTACATTATATTATATTTTATTTATATTTAGTATATTTACAATAATCCTGCAAAAGTAAACACAAAATAAAAAATGTAATTAACATAATATACTTTATAATATTATTATCTATATATTCGTACACATATTAAACATATTTATATATTATACATTTATTCGTTAAAATTATTTTTCTATTTTTCGGGCGAATAGAAATTACAATAATAATAATAATAATAATAATAATAATATATTATATACTATGCGTTCGATATAATATAATATTGCTATATTATTAGCTATTTTAAGTACAAAAACGGGAGATAAAAAACCAAAAACCCAAAAATAAATCAAACAGTTATTTAAAAATGTTATACGATTATCATGATCGGTTGTATTGACGAGAGGATACGATAAAATTGGTTTGATAATTTATACCTATATGCATAAGAATTAGTAAACCGTCTCGTATATTCAAATAATATTGTATACAATAATATTTTATCATCGGTATTTTATTTTTCGATATTTTATAGGTGAGGTTATAAACGTGCAATATTTTTTATGTATTTGTAATAGCCTACGATGTAATATTTTCCCAAACATTTTAGTTTTCCGGTCGATCATGTGGTCCACTCCGAGTTTGCTCCTCTCAACGGTTACATATGTACCTAGTATAGTAGTGTAATGTATAATAAATAATAATAATAATAAATAATAATATATGTCTGCGGTAATGTGACGTTGTTCCATTCAATACGAAGAGCTTAGGCTCGAATTAAGACCTGCGGTGGTCGTAGACTGTGAACAATTTGGTGTCCTCATATTTTACAGTAAAACTTTGTAAAAATATTTTTTTAACGTTTAATTTGTGTTCGTACATTTTTTTTGTCCAAATATTTTACAAATTTTAATCAATATACATAAACCCAGTTATCAAACTTGAAAATAGAGTAAAATAATATTTTTAATTAATTATACATACATAATACATATTGTACCTATGTGTAAAAATAGTAAGACAATGATAATAAAAAAAAATTACTTGGGAGTATGGGATTTATTTTATGAATTAACTTGTAAAGTGTGTTATATATATTACACTCACTGTGGTAATGACTGAAGTACGACGACTAGACGATTTCAGGTACGGATACACTCTAAGTTCTAACCGATAATTGCTTCATAGTACCTTGTAACTTAATCATAAGAATTTTTTTTATAGTTTGGATTTTGGATAGAAAAAAATAGTATTTAATATAAATAAACAAACATTGTGGATGGTAAATCCACGGTCAATTGCGATTCTGTATGCTGTAGCCTATAATATTATAATACCTACTTATGCCTAATAATCCGGGCCTGAACCAAGACTTTATCGACCAACATTGCCGTAGCAGATGTGTATCGCAAAAACGATCAGGGCCTACAAAAATCTACATCATTCAACATGACCACTGATAATTAATACGAAAAACGTCACACACCACAGTAGCTATACCGCAAAAAATGATCTGTGTGGACACCTTTATCGCGTAGTTTATACCATGGCTATTTTGTACGTACTTACTATTTTTAGACGTTTCCTAATCCTATCACATCGTAAAAGTAATATTAATAAAAATAATATGACGACACGGTTCGTTGTACCCGTATGATATTGAGTATTAATAAAAAGATGAGGAAAAAATAAGAAAAAGAAGAATTCCAAAAATATCCAACGATACCTACACTCTCGCCACTCTCGTCTTGGCAACACTATTACTACTATACTACTGCTATACTACTACAGTGGTTAAACGCATCAGTGGTGCTTTAAGATGTATTTAACGTGTGCGATCATGTTTTTTCGCGTTTTTTAATGTGACAGTTCAAACAGAAAATAAATAAAATCGTAGGTTATTAACCATCTCCGGATGGGTCGTACAAGGATAATATACACGTTTCCAATGAAGGAGGAACCACCCTAGTGTTAAATCTGTGATGTTAACCTAACAGTGAAACATATTACTCTAACTACCTGTAATATGATGTATCAATGACCTCAGAAACACGACATCTCTTCCAACATTGACTCAACATTAGGTCCAAACACAGAAAACACTACAAATATTATGACCAACTTTTTAAGAGACACCGACTTATAAAATCCAATTTAATAACGTTAAAAAAATAATTTAAGTTTGATTATATAATCAATTTAAGACATTGTAAGGCTATTACTATTATTGTAAAGTTTTTTAATACTAATAACATTTGTTTTTTAAAGATCAATAAAAAAAGCTGTTCGTATTGGTACTGCTTGATCGGACAAGAGACTTTTTCAACCAAGTGGCAATTTGACGGTGGTTTCCATTCGTTATCATTAATTTACTCATACTCTCTTCCCAAACGCAAGCGAATCAAGTAAAAACTTTAAATTAAAACATTTTTTTTTTCATTGAATTCCGGTTATCTAGTAATTTTTATAAGACGTATATTGTTAAAAAAATATACTTGAACATATGTCGGTGCCTCCAAACAATTTGATACTCGGGGCCACTGCCTTTTTCTCTGACCTGGAGGAAACTCCCTCGCTTAATGTGACACTGCAAAAGACGGTCTAGGGGGAGGGGCGGTTACAGCAGTTACATAATATGTATATACACTCGAACGATTAACCCCACAAAAAGATACACTAGACGCGGGTGGCGTATTATCGACCATCAAAGTGCACTTTGATGTGCCTCTTTTTCTCCTATACTTATATGTAACAGGAAATTCGAGGGGCGTGTTTATATATACTTTTTGGGGTTGGCCATTACGTACCCGCCCCGTGTCTATACAATATATAATATATCATACCTATATATCTATAATATATAGACACGCACATAGTATAAATGGTTGTCGCGCTGAACAATACCGACCGAAAACAGTCGGGCTACAAATAAACTATAATAAATATAAACACGTGGTGAAAATATGCAATCACACAATATTTTATACAATAGTAGTATAATAATGGTATCGAGTTATTAAGAGTGCGATTTCGGCCAAAACAGACGAAAACCTCTCTTTGGAAACACATTAGATAATCTGAAATATATGGGGATGTTCTAGACCCCCCCCCCTCTAGATCCATTAAGTCATCCCACACGGAGAGGGATACAATTATTTATAACATGAACTTATAACTATATAACACTACAGAACTTATAACGGTTTTCGATATTGTACCCTTTCCTGCTATCATATTATTATTATATTTTATATAGATATATAATTACCTATACCAAACCTCATATTATACCATTAATACGTACTTGAAACATTATCATACTTATTCGATGAGAGGAAAAAAATATAAATTAAAAAATTAAAATTAAAGTATACAATAATATAAACTTCGTGGTTTATCCTCACAACGCGTAAGACAATACTTTGCTTATAGTATCTATTAAGAACACTGCATACAATATATAAATGATTTTCGTATATCATATTAATTATAATAATATTATTATGTACAAAATGGTGAAATGCAACTGTTGATAATAGTGCAAGTGCATATGTAGGCAGGTATTGTGGCCGCTATTGTTCTGATATTTCAGTGTACTATTGCTCGTGTATTTTGTTATTATTATGATTTAATAATATTATACCTAATATTATTATTGTAGTAACCAAGTTTGCCCGCGGTTCAATACAGCGCAGTTCAGAACAAGACGTGATTGGATCCTGTTGGTCCGCCGCCCGCACCGCCACCGGTGACCTTGAGCGAGTCGGAACCGAGCAGGTAGCCGGCGGGTCCAGCGGCGCCCAACAAGCTGAATGGGTGGTGGGCGAACTGTTGGTGATGCGACGTCGGCGAGTGGTGGTGATGGTGGTGATTGTGATTGTGTGTGCCACCGCCACCGCCGTTCATCTTGTGAGCTGGCGAATTGTTGCCTGGTGAACCATTTCCGCCGCCTCCACTACCGCCACCGCCACCACCGCCACCGCCGCCACTGCCTCCACCGCACTGTTGTTGAAGCTGGTGGTGGAGCTGCGTGTAATTCTGGCCCTGGCCCAACAGCCATTTGTTGTTGTTCACTCCTTCCGACTGCTCAGACATTTTTATCGCTGCAAAACGAAAAACAAAAACGTGCTATAGAAACATAGAATGTTTACTTAAAAATGTTAATAACTAAATAATAGGTTTGTGTATTGCAATGTACAAACATCTATCAAATTGTACGTCCCGTTTTCGCTATATAACTAGCGGAATTAATATTTTTTTCACGTAAAAAACGTACCAGTGGAACTCATATTTTTTTTTTGAGGTAATAAAAATACAGGTGGAATTTGCCTAAGCTTACAGTACAATACAGATTGTGTATTTCAAATAAAGAAAATAATAAACCTTCTTCAGCATGATGAAAACTAAGCCACTAACGCCTGCAAAGCTCAGTTGTGCAACGTGCAATACATATTATAATTCATAGGTATTGTATCATCGTATTTAACTATCGGTGAAGCACTATTATGTAAGTTCTAATTTTTTGGGTACACGGTAACGTTCTTTTTAAAAAAACTATAGACTGTCAAAATTATCCTAAGAATGACATGAGTACAATATGAATACGATTCTGTTGCAATGTTGCCATTTATTAATAACTGACTAGTTTAGTTAAAAAGTTAAAACCTTCGTTTATATTATATAATAATCATAATAATAATAGTAAACAATTATATGAATCTTACTGTAAAAGCTTTTAAAAATAATACTTGCAATATAGGTTTAGTGCAAATTTATTGAATTTCTGAATTTTGGAATTTTTAAGTATACCTACTTATAAAGACCATAATTTCAAATTCTTAAGATTTACTTTTACTTTACTTATAGAGTGTCCTTTGGCAATAGAAACTTCTGTTTCGGTAAAATGCTTTACTATAATGAAGTAATAAATATTTTGAACACTATATTATTTATGACATACATAATACACTGTAATTTAAGGCGTTGTTCAATTTAATTATACCGAAATCAAGAGTGCCATGCTACAAATTACTTGTAAATTGTTCTGTTTAGTTTATATCATTAATTATTATTATAATAGTATAATATGGTTTTGGTTGCGTTCGGAGTAACTATTTTTCCTAAATATACTACCAACACATAATTAGTGAAATAAATTGAAAAGTGCATTCTTTGATAAAAAAAAAGTTATGAATACTTAAAGTTTATTTATGCATTAAAGTTTTTTAACAATTAATTGCGCAAAATATTTTTATTCATAATAACTAATATTTTTTTTTTCAAAGGTATCATAAAATGATTAAAATTTAGCCCTTGTCATGTTTACGTATACGTGAATATATTATTTACATAAAATGAGTTATTAAATATAGTAAAAAAACTTCAAATCATACATAAAATGAATACTGCAATGTAGGCGTAACATATAACTATATAATATATAGAATATAGATGATAACTTATACACATTACACATGTACCTATGTACATAACATACAGTATATTATGTATTTAAAAAAAAAATGTTAGCCTCGCAAAAAGGTTGGCTCCACTCATGTTGTATATACAATATGCATTATGCAAACGGTAGCTATACAAGCTATATAGCCACCCGATTAAAATCGTGCAAGCGCACAATTTATAAAACATAAAATTACAATGTTTCACGTTATAACAAGCCAATAAAACTTTTTGAATTTTTAATATTGATTAACGTGCTTTTATAAAAAAATATATACAATATATGTATTTTATGCACTGACTTTTTATACCGATTAAAACATTATACGACGATTTTTTTTTTACCACGTACGTAATGTGTGAAATATATTTCACGGTTTTTATAAAATACACAAAGAATAACGTGTTTATGTATTGCTTTTATTGCTATTATTATATAGTATGTTAAATAAATAAATGAATAGATTCATTCTTCCTCGATGCTTTAAATTACAGAGAAAACAACTCTTAATACGATGTATGGATGATGTGGATAGGTATAAAAAGGATATACTACTATACTCCGTCGAACGGTCAAACTATGTGATCATTAAAACAATAGTTAGGTGTTAGATTATAATAATTTTACAGATGGTTTTATAAACATCTGAAATCTTAATCAGTCTCTTTTGTCATAAGAATTTGTCATGTACATCCTAAATAGTATAGTGTGCATTTCCCTGGTATCATCACCTCTGAATTTTGGATCCAAACAGGGCTTTCGTTTGTGCTACAACCACCGTGGGTTAAGTTTTTATTTCAATCTTAACTGTTTCCGGGTGTCAAGATTAATTGGGCGGGTTATACACTCATTATAGGAACCAATTAATGCACCAGGCGCAAAATCCTGTGCAAGCCTATAAAAATACGGTTTGTAAATCCGTAAATGCAACTTTAGAGTTTCTTCATATTGGTATGACGAATATTATTAAAATATTAATATACTATTTTGGTTTTGTATATTATTCGCAAATATTTATTTGATAATACAAGCATTTGTGGTCGCGGTTATACAAAAGTGGTCCCTGACCACGGTCATGTTATATTATTCAGGGAGATAATCCAGTGAGGTTATGAACCTACGCGGCCTCGGCGGTCTGCCTGTGCGAACGCAACCGACCCACAGTGGTTTATAAACTCTGCCGTCCCTATTGTAATAAATAATAATTTTATTTATTGTACACCACAATATTTTCCCGTCAGTCAGTCTTAGAAAATGAACAAAATAGTTGTTGTTGTCGTCCTCCCGATTCTTCATTATATTAGGACGCAACAATTAGTCATTATAATGACACGCATCATCGAATTATGTAAGTATACGAATTACGATTATCAAATAATAGTTTTTATATAGTTTTAAAACCTAGTGTTAATAATTATTTAATATCCTTATTTTGATATTATGACTTTTTCAGGAGAGGGTTTTGAATTTTTTAATATTAGTTTATATTTGAGTTCTCTCCTATTTATTGCCCACTCGAGACTCGACACTCGTTAGGTTGCTATGAAACTGTCGTAAGTGTTATGCAATAAAAATAAAAGAGCATTATTGTTGTTCATCAACGTAGGGGTGAAGTGGGGTTATTGGCTAAAGTAAGACTTGCAGGCCACAATGAAATAATAATAATAATATATTTTTGTAAAATAAACAGGTGATGCAATATATGGAAAAATTAATATAAATTAAATTTTAGTGCCCCCCTATAAGCAAAGCTTGTGCTTTGAGAGCAGTTCTTATCGATACAACATTACATAAAATACATTTTTTTCTTAAATTTTTTAAATAGATGTCAAATAAAAAATAAGTAAAGAATAAGAGTAAAATATGTACCTACTTATATAAGATTACGAGTATTAATTATAAGCTAGATAAATCAAGACTACTTGACATATCTTTTGAATAAATTCAGATTGCAGAAATGATTTATATTAATATTTAACATTTGGCATAATTTAAAACCATTATATAAAACACTCATTTGACCAAAAGCCTTATTATATCTAGGTAAACAAGTATTTATATTTTGTTCGTATCTTGTGCTATGATCATAATCTGAGCATGTTACTAAATGTTTATTTCAAAATGTTCAACTTAAGTATTAAAATTAAATATGTACCAAAAATCATTGACTTTTAGGTCCTTGTAAATTAAAGTGGTACTTGTTTGAATTGATAAATTAAGTAAATATTTAATTACGCAGTTTATAGTTACTATTAATGTAGATAGATGATAATTGAAAGTTCCTCAAATTGAAATACCATATGTAAAAATAGATTGTACTGAGGATAAATAAATAATTATTTTTTTATGCGTTATTAAATATATTAACTTCTTTAAACACGAAGAAGAATTTACATAAAGTATTATTTAAATAATTTATATGGCTATCCCATTTGAGCTTATAGTCAATGACTAAACCAAGGTATTTTAATTCCCTCACAGATTCAAGTTTAATGCACTGTGGGCCACATGTGTTATTCGAAAACTGAAATACATTTTAATGAATGGACTATTAAATTATTTTCATTTAAAATACTACACTTATGTGGATAAAAACAAATATATTTAGATTTGAATAGGTTTACTTTTAGTTTATTCTTTCAAAACCAAACATTTATATTGTTTATTATTTTATTTGCTTCACGATACAAAGCATCTGTAGTTCGTTCGGATAATAGTATAGCAGTGTGATCAGCAAATCTTAAGATTTTAGTATTTAAATTAATTTGAATTTTTAAGAGATCATTTATAAATAATGAATAATTAAGGACCTATATAAAACTGTGCCTTGCTATAAATCGCATGATACTTCAAGGTTTTTACTATATTGATCATTAAGTTTAACCCTTTGAGTTCTACTACCTATGAATGTTTTAAGCAAAAAATTTGGTATACCGCGAATACCTGGGTGCTCTAATTTAGTGATTAATAGTTAATGATAAACACAATCAAAAGCTTTCTGTACATCTAAAAATATGTCAATTACCTTATTATTGTTGTCAATGTTTTTTCTAACAAATTTGGCTACTTTTACAAAGACATTGATTAACTGGCTTTTCTTGTTAGGTGACCTGGCCTTAACTTGGCCTTTTTTTCAATGGTTTTATGTTTATGAATAAGAGGATTTCATTACTTTTTGTTGACTTCCGTATCGTGGCCGTTGTCTTTGTTCATTCCTAGGCTCTTTAAACGCCAAAACAGCTGGGTAGCAGTGATATTAGAGTGAGAAAAACCAGGCGAATCTGTTCATGTCAAGATACACGGCATGCTGCTTGTGAACTTAGCTTGGCGCACGTTCCAGTGCTCTTAGATTATATTCGATTTGGTTTGACCAGTTTTAATTTCGATCAGCATAGAAGTTATTGAATATTATTTGTAGAGAGGTCAAAGGTTACATTTTATGTTTTATCGGGGTTTTGACTCTTAGATAAGTAATATTCTCGTCCAAGATGTTTTCTTGAGTAGTTCACCGTAATATATATCTAGACGGATGCAACTGACAAGTGACAGCTGAATATCGTTTAAATAAATAATAATACCGTGGTATTATCATCGTATCATACACTCGTGTAGTCGTGTTAGACGATCATACAAATAATTAAGTATTTCGTCCACCAAAAGCAATATGACAATATCAATATAAAATACTGATAAATCGAGTACAACCCTATAAGTAAATTATTTTTATATTTTTTCAGTTACTACATTATTGTGCTTCATTCATAGTCAATGGATAATTTATAGTTATATTAATTACATTTTTAGTGTCTTTTTTCAAACATTTTAGTTATAGTGCATTTTGGCATATTTTAGTATTTTGTAAAAAAATTCATATCAAACACTTGTGAACATGTTCCAGCTAATTTTATAGTATGTAGGCACGTGTTTCAGAATAAATCTACAAAACTGTACGTTTTTAACTAAATTAAATGACTAGTACATAGCTTTACCCTAAAATCTACACTCTACAACACCAACATTTATACGAAACTTTTTGTTAATGTTGTACCAATCATTATTTTAATATAATCATACAATATTGTCTTTCATAATGTATTAATACAACGCTCTTGGTCGACTGCAGTCGTTGGCGAGAATTATGTATCAAGTACTTAAAAATATATTATTACTGTAGTTTCTGGAGGATTCCTTGCTTAAATATATCATAGTGTTCTAGTCTTTCGGAAATACTATATAATATTATAAATTATAGTAATATATGTACCAGAAGCGGACCAGGTATTGTTCAAGGGAGGGGAGATGATTTTCAAAAAATATTTTTATAATGAGACCTATAGGTACTTAATATTATATATTATATTTATGACTTTATAGATGATTTGTATTGTGTGAATTTTATTTTCGCAAACATCATCATGTCCGCGCTATAATAATATTGGAACCACATGTAAACAATTATAGAATATTAGATTATTAGAATTATGTAAAATAAATCGGCCCGAGAAGGGCCTCGTATATTCGCCACCGATGTCGGTCCGACACATCAGTTATCTGAAAATTGGTGGAGCCCATAGCCAATTATTTTTAATCAAAAATAAAATAATTTTATCGCAATGCATTAAAAGGAAGTTTAATTTTTTTTAAGTTTGTATGGAAACAATTGAAAATTTTACTGGGCCAAGGGCTCAAACATGAGTCAGACCGACACTGCCCGTCACTGATACATATTACACTGCATTGGCACTTACTTGTTTCACATTTTGTTTGTCTGACAAAAACTTTTGCAAACCCGTTCGTCGGTTGTCGTGGTCGGTCTAAGTTCTAATGTAACGCAGTGATTTATCAACGCTCACTTATAGGCACGGCTGCAGTTACAGTGCACCTCGCCCGCGCGTTCGCCTCATTCGGCCGGCGACGATAAAATATATGGAACCATTCTACGGGGCGCGCGCGCGTGATTTAAAACGTTTGGCTTGTGAGGGGTGGTGTATAGGATTAATCGCAGCCGTCCATGATGTTCGGGGAGAAAAATCTATTATCTTAGTTAACTTTTAATCGTCGCCGTTACACAGCCGCCGGATTGTTGTTCGCTGTCAAAGTGGATCATCGACGACCGCCGCCGCGGCACCGGCCAAATACGCACACACACACACACACACACACACACACACACACACACACACACACACACACACACACACACAGTTTTTGATCCCCAACCCCCTTCGTTCCGTTTTCGTAACAATTTTTCTTTCTTATTCACCCGCCGCCGACCTGTAGCCCACCCACCCGCCGACCAGAACAAATTATCGTCTGCGCTCCTCTTCACCGAACGATCTGCAGCATCATCTCTCTCACTCGCTGTCTCGAGCGTACCGCCCGTGTACACACACACACATATATATATATGTATGTGTGTACAGTACATATGTGTCCTACGGGTCGTCTGACACTAATGGAAACGAACGACGTAACCAACAGCAATTTTCTAGATTAAACGTCACTGCGCTGTAGTACGCGTCTCTCCGACACTGCACGCGCGCCACGGCCGATCGTTCGTTTTAATGCGAACGCGACGCTCTGGCCGGGTGGGCATAGGCGGCAGAGGGCGAATTTTGCCGCAGCAGTAGCAGCAGCCGCACTGTGTAATGTATAAACGTGTGGGTGTGTGTGTAAGATTCGTGAGTGGGTGTGGCCTCCGGGGGTTCGCGAGAGGAGATGTCTGGACGGGTGGAGGCCCCGGCGAGGTCGGTCGGCGCAAACTTGACTCGTATATATATATATGTATGAATGTGATCGGCTCGCCTTTCTTTTTTGGATTTATATACCACGCCGTCTCTCGTCCCGCTATTGCCTACCACCCCACACCACTGCCCCGTCGCCGACGCGCTCGCTTCTCGCGCCTCCGACGTCTTTATATACTACTTTTCAGATTTATCCCGTCGGTCCCACGAAAATAATCAGTCATCTGCGCCGGAGTAGTCAGACCCGAACCCTCGAGAAACGATTTTTTTCCACTCTATTCGCTTTCGCGGTCCTATCGTCCCCCCGTCTGACTACTGCTACGGCGATACCGCGAAAATATCGTAGAATAATGATATATTATAAACATCATTCTGTACGTTTTCGATCTTCTGCCACGACCGTGTCCATTTGTCATAACCCTGTTGCTGCGTCCCATCCTCTACCCCAAATATCGCTTTATAGTTTATTCCTACTTATATATATAATATACATTGCAGCTGAATCCCGTCCACGAGCAACCAGTAGCCTATTGAAAAATGCCGTATATTTACCGCCTGACTACACGCTTTTGATTTTAAATACATATATAAAAACGCCTGTATTAAAATATATATTACATAGTTCAAGAAAAATGTCTTACCGAAATCCCAAAACCATATGTGAAACCCCTCATAATGGGCTTCCTAACAACGGCACATAACAACCGTCTCGTATAAACTATACCTATTCCTTACATTTTAGTATTGCTCTAACAGAAACTTCTTTGCAACAGAAAAATCAGTTGGTACCCAACAATTCCATTAAAGGAAGGTTTAATGTGGGTCCAATAGTATATGGCACAAATGTATATTGTATATGTATAATATTGTGGTTAGTAAGCATATATTATGTTGTACTTGTTTCAAACACTGAAACACTTGAGTTTATTACTCGATAGGTATTATCATCACACGTTAATATTATGTTATTTTATTATTAAAACCCGCAACACGCACTATTACTTCGTTTTGTTTGTTTTTTTAAGAACTCTTCGGCAGGATGAATTTCGTTTATATGTTGGGAGCAGACTGATGGGAGTGAATGGCTTGCACATTTAACTTGCTCGGTTGTACATTGAACAGTTTAATTATATATATATCAATATATTACATGCCAGATCATCGTGACAGGTACCTATTATATAATATAAGACTATAATAATAGAACACGTCGTATTAACATCGTGTATTAAATCGACTTCTAGTCAGTTTCAAAAGTTTTGCTTCGAATCTATTAACTGGAAATCGCAATACGATGTGATAGGTACACTCAATGCAATAGTATATATTATATATTTTCATTACGGAACGATGCAAGTCGAGTGTGCTACATACCTACGGGCTACGGTGTTTGCTCCGGGTCAACGAGCCTTACGTAGGCTAGTTGGAGACCTGATCTAAAATGTCCTGTCGACCATCGAAGTATCGATACTCGATGGTACCTTCGTAAAGTAAAAAATTATGTGATGTCTCACATTATTTTATAAAATGTTTTTAAAAAAGTTAGCCTCTACATATTATGAACTAACAGATACATATTATACTTTTCAGACAATTGGCATTTCCATGTCCTTTCATCCCCGTAATAACTAAAAAATATATCATACATTTTGTTCGTGTTTTCAAGTATGAATAATCAATATATTTTTGTGCATATTTTTATCTCAATACATAGCTGACGTTTTTCTTCTATATTCCTACCTATAGTTTATAGGCGGAATTCGCGATATGTACGTATAATAGGTAGGCTAAAAATATTATCTGTTTTTAAATTTTACCTGTTCCATTGACCGTTTTCATGTCGGTTGAACCGTTGTTTGAAGATATGCTGCCCGGCGTGGACGGTGTGCCAGGCTTGCCATCTTTCGATTGACCGCATTGTTTCGGCTCAGTTTTTATGCTTGTCGCGTCTACCGTACTACTGCTGCTGGATTGCGACGATTTTTGCTGGGCTAGCCTTTCCTGTTTTCGGAATTTTGCCCGGCGATTTTGAAACCACACCTGTAAAAATAACTTTGTTTAGTTCTACAATAATCAGCTGTCCACCTGTGAGTCTATAATGTATTACAGGGGTTTGGAAATATGGCAGGTATATAAGCACACTATACGACATGGCCTTATAATGGTTACTGCTTACAACTAATTTTTAGTATCAAACTGTTATGGCCACATAGGATTCGTATTGCTTAAAAAAAAAAAAAATACAATACTAATAAATTAATATAATAAATTACTATACCTATTACTATATCGTCTATATCCTACATATATATATATATATATAATATATATAATATTATATATACATACAATTATTAGGCGTTATGGCATTCCGGTAATAGAGAAGACATTTTATGGTCTTAAACCGAAATCCATTTACTTATTTATGTATAGGTTATTATTGAGTATCAAAATTCCTTAAACTTGTCCCCATTTGTGACCCTCGAGGCTTATTTGAAGTATTTATATGTTATACGAACACAATACCTAGATATATAAAGTTGAGTGGCTTCAGAACATTCGTATAGTATACCTACATATAAACATTACACATACATACATACTCACATATATTCACATGTATTATGTATGTATAATATATTGCTTATGGTAGAACAGCGTCAGTAAAAGTCCGCCTATATATATCACCACCCACCACCAACAACCACCCCACTTTTCACCCACTGTTAATCAACGGGAGCGCTGCTGCTAGTATTCGGTCCGTTTTTAAAAGGTTATCTTTTTTGTCCTAAACAAACAGCGCAAAACCCCTTGGCGGATAAACTTCGCTCAAAAGTCCGTGGGTCTTGTGTATACTTATGACTGCTGTTGCTGCTACTGTTGTGCAAAGAGAGTGTATGTCCAACTACTAGAGACTTGTTTTTCTCTCGTTTTTCCCCTTTTTTTTTGTTTTTCCATTTCCCCCCCCCCCCTCTGAATCTTGTGTATACACCACCACACAATACTCTATATACTCTTAGTGTTGTTCGGCCTTGCATCACAAAAACCTACTGCTTGCACTATATATATATACACAGTAGTTAGACTTTATATATATATATGTGTGTGTGTGTGTGTGTGTGTGTGTATAAATGTAAACGTGATGTTTACTTTCCACCTCTTAAATCCAATAAAGTTCGGTTCCGTTTAAACACGCGCACATGCAGGACCTTTGATTCGTTGATAGAGGCGGCATCGGCCTTTTATTTAAAAGTCACGTGCAAGAGGCCGACAGCGACGCATCTATTTACTTCTCTTTTTACTTTTTTTTTAAATTTCCAACCCTCTTAACCTGCATCCTTCTCACATGATTATTTTCATTTATTCTATATGTAGAACATTTGTTTAATAATTATGGCGATATTTAGGTACATATTATACGGCGCGTATGCCAACTGTAAAGTTGTAATGTTGATGTAACTTTTTCATTCGATTTCCTTATAATATCAGAGTTTAATATTCTTAATTATATATTAAATTTAATTTTCCCTAACATGCAAACATGCAAGGTTATTTTATTTAAGCTGCTAAAGTAAAATTGCTTATACATTTAATTTAAACCAAGTATTTTAAATCGTTAGATATGCTACCTATATAAAATACCCAATGACTTAAACTAAATGTACTAAATGACTTATTGATCATTCCTAGTTTTTAAATGTTATACTATTCCATAGGTCTGTATCGTATAAAACTAATAAATTCTATTTTATAGTTGTACAGCATTATTTTTTTAATATTTGTCGTTAGTGGTTGCTTATATTTAATTTTTATTGTCTATGAATTAATAAATTACGTTTAAACGTGGAATTATTGTCTCATTTAAATGTTTCAGAATAAATCTGCTAAATTTCAAAAGTAAACACCAATTTATAATTTAAATCTTAATATAGATAGGTACCTACTATAATTTATTTTTACCTGAGTTTTTATGATATAGTTTCAAATAAAACTACTTCATTTTTTTCTCAATAATCATTAATATACGGCGATGTGAATATAGTTCAATAAATATTTATTTGTTAAACGAGAAATTCAATGAAATTTTAACATAAAATGTATATTTTACCGAAAGCGCTTTTTTTATTTTAGACAAAAAGTGTTAAACGACAATCTTACTTATCATACTATAATAATATTAATCTTACATAGGTACATCAAATATGAAATATACGCTGTAACTTGAAAAACGCCTATAGATATACAATTAATTTTTAGTTTACTGCTGCTAGTATACATAAGTAGGTACTTAATGATTTGTGTAATGCAGTTAATTTAGGTAGGTACCTATACAAGATTTTTCCAAATAATTGTATGTAGGCAAATGTATCGTCCCGTATTATATCATTTATGTAATTATCCTCAAATATACGAAACTTTGAATACCACCATTATCTTTTTAAATTGGAAAACGATTTCTCGTTTTGTGACTGTGCCTAATAGAGCACGAGTGACGAGTGTACTGCGACGTTCACTAAAAATAAATCGTGGTTCCTATGTTACTCTTTTAGAGAATGGTCCGTTTTGATATGCCATTTCGAGAACAGACTTGATTCAAAGCATAACGAGTAACGAGTAATGACGACTGCAGCATATGTGAAGAGTATTCCAAACGGACTCGCCATATTTGATATTATTTCCTCTGACTCGGTCGCGGTGTACATCGTATAACTCAACAGATGTGTTTCGCCTGCAACTTTACGTCTGGTGGCCAATGTACCGTGTAGACCTTTGCCGGGTTTTTCGGCGCGATTAATTGACCGTGTCTCTCTGTCTCTCTCTCTCTCTTTCTCTCTTGCCATACCACCGTTTCTATGAACCGTATGAGGGTTACCCGCGATCGAAATCCCGCCTGAAGTTAATTGAATATAAATAAATAACATGGGGTTTGCGTGTGTATGTTTATAATATATATTGTGCAATGCACTGATGTAGTGTCTCTTTTTGGTGTGTCATCATCACCGAACGTATCATCCAACAGTGTTTAACATGGTGTTTTTCCATTGTTTAGACGAGTGTCAATAGATTTATAATAATAAAATATCCCTGTCCCCCGCCGTTGTCACACCATTGTAGTTGTATTGTTAATATATACGACGGGGCTTGTTTTTTACTATTTCAAAACTCATTCAACCCTGATGTAAACCTGCTAAATCATCCGATTTCGCATTATCAATCGCACCCGAACAAAAGACAGTATAGTAGCAAGTGTTTACGAATTATCAAATATATAATAGTATATATATATAGTATATCCTATGTATAAACACTGTTAGGTACCTATAATAATGACATATCTTCCTGATTAGGGATGGGAATTGTTATACCATATATTAAACATTTCTAAACGGGTCTATGCATTTTATATTAAAATTATAGTTACATAATACATATTATGGGCAGCAGGCTATGAAAGCTCTCAATAAATTATGTGGTATAATATACGCTGATAAAATCCTTAAAGTGGTGACACATAATGATAGAAGTTACGACAGTATAGTTTAAAATACATAATATGAGTACGACGAAAAATACGTTTTTAAAGATGAGTAAATTGTATATAGTACAGTATACCTACCTACCTATTATATGGCTATGCCATATAATTATTTAATAATTTTATTGTGATCTTTAGTTTTAGTTATATTCGTCCTATATTACACGTTATTGTCTATAAGTAGAAGAAAATTATATGTTTTTTGCATTATATTGTATGATCTTAAGTATTAGGTTAAGTATTTAAGTAGTTGAACCTTTTCAGCCATAATATAATAGTATGATGTATCTATATTTTATTTTTTAATCAATAAAACACAAGAGATATTTATTATTATTAAGATTATAAGAGCATTATTAGCCCTGCTTCCAAATGGACTCTAAAAATATTTATCAGACTAAAAGTTTACATTGTAGATAAAGACCTACTCAATATTTTTATAAATATATGCAAAGTGTCTGGAGTCCTGCAGTCTGCAGTATGTTTCATACTTAATAATCTCAACAATACCTCCCAAATTTCAAAATGTAAGCAAATAACTCGCTTAAAATTAATATACACTAATAGTCACTAGCAATATTTGCTTATTATTGATTATAAATTATAAGTAGATGCAGTTTTTCTGTTTATTTTAATTACATTTTTAATATTTTGATTGGTTTACATCTGTATAAATTAAGCTATCACTAATATTAAGTGAGTAAGTACCCGAGTTAATTCAAATTTTACAATTGGTTTAGCCTAAAATTTAAAAATATTATGTATTTATAACGAGAATTCTGACGTAATCTAAGTTATAATTATACGATAAATTACAGCTAATTGACTTTTTGCTTTAAATGTTTATCGTATGCTATAACCATAAACTATAATACCCCATATGATAATAATTATAGTATGATTACTATAATACAATATATGCAGTGACGGAATAAGACATTTTGAGTCTGCAGGCACTTTTTTCCCTGGGGGCCTCAACACATATTAAAATTTTCCTTATGAATTCACTTAATTATAAATAAATTGATTTTGAAAATAATTTTTATTAATATTTCGCATGGCAACAAATAGCCAACAATAACACAAAAACATTATATAAACTCTAAAAAAAATTATTATTAAATATAAGACGTACATCACAATGAATTTAAATCAATACTTTCAAAGTTAATAACAACATAATATTATTATATAATATGTAGTAAAAATTGAATTTCTATGTCTTATGTCTTTATACATGAAATACTCTTTAAACTTTTTTTATTCAATGGCCTCTGTTTTGAAAATATAAATATTGATGATGGATAACACAATTATTTTTACACCTTATTGAGAAAATGTTTATATATGCATGTGTATACATGATATAAGCCAAATAACACTGACTCCCTAGTTCATTGCTACATCTCAAAAATTACAAAACGAATGAACATGAAATTTGGAATAATGGTTCGTGTAATAATCTAGATGTGCAATAAGAAAGGTTTTCCGATATTCGTATTTT